CCTCCACCTTGAGTATGCTGTGCTTACTCAGGACCACTTGGATCATGTGACTCCTAAAAGAGCAAAGGAGAAAGTAAATACTCATTTATAACTGGTTGAGCTAAAACTTTCACAACAATAGGATTTATAATTTAGTGTGGTCAATGAAAACTCTAAACACAATGTGAATATAGAGATGGAGACATATTCAGTCTGGATGGGGCTAAACAAGTCTCTGTGTGCTGACTACATTTCTGTGACACGTGCTACTCTCAGACTTATCGCACATACATCTATACTGCACATGCAGTTATGTGCAAGTCATCTGCCTCACCATATATCTTGCTCTGTCTCTCACACACACAAAGGCATCCTGTTTATCATCTCAGCTTTGCACCTGAGGGTCTGCGAAGCACACTATCTCCTTTCACCCTAACAGTTTGAATAACACCTGGGAGTGTAGACTGTATGGAGGTTATGAGTTACAAACCAAACCCCCCGGTGTGTGGGAAGGAAAAAAAGAACTGCTGGGAGCCTAAATGAGAGTGCCTGGGATGGAAAAGGCTGGGAAAAGAGAGGACTAGCACTATTTGCTTTGATTGTTTTATGTTGACTCTACCCTTTAAGTCCACTTAAAGGAAAAGTGAACTATAAAAGATTCTAATTCTCAGTAAAACTCTCAGTTCTGTTGTTTCTGAGAAAAAGTTTTAGTACGTCTCAAGTTGATAGTGCGCTAGAGGCCAGGTATATCATACTCAGACATCATATAAGCTTTTCCCCTGCCCTCTGCAACATCATTGGATACACCAACAAAATGTCTGGAGACTATGTTCTATCATTTCTCTGGCTTGTTGGGTTTCATCTCCGTAAAGCTTCACTTTGTCTCGACCACTGGACAATAGGCTGAATCTGTGAGAACAAAGGCCTTAGAAAGAGAGGTGTAATCAAAGAGAAGGCTGCTGTTTTTTTGTCACGTACTAGGTCACAGTCTGCTTTCTGTGTGTGAGAGACACTTAGATATATGGCGGACAATGACACAATGGCAGTGAACAATGGGCATGGTTACAGTATAAAAGAGGCCTGAGAATTTTCAAGCTTTACTGTATGTCCCGGTATGAGAGCAGTGTATGTGTGAGAGTGTGTGTGCCAGTGTTGTATGGATGCTGGACTTGGACTGTTTTCTTACTTGACTTTTAATAAGGTGAGGCAGCTTTGTACCGAATGGATTATAGTTTGATTATGTATTGATGTCAGTTAGTTGTGGGACTGTGGATTGAGGGCAGAGTACCAAGTGGACTTTAATTAGTGATTAGGGGGATTTAAATGAATCAATTTAAACATGCAACTAGTTAAAAAAAATAACTTTTGTTTATTTCAGAGCAACTGTGAAGATAATTATTAAATGTAAACCACTAAACAATGATAATCTTAGTTGTAGAAGTTCATGTCTTAATGCACACCAAACACTGAGAAGTTTTCTGGAGTGAACGACCTAGATGGCTGTGCCTTTATCAATCCTGTATTATCAAGCACTATAACCAAAAGTTTTACATTCAAGAATTGCTTCTAGACATTTGCTGTGCAGTAATACTTGAACCTTGAACCAACTACACATTTGTCCTGCTGGGATCCTATGAAATAAAACCCCCATTTGTGCAGGAGTGAATACATTTATGCTAGTAAATGATCTTAGATCTAAGATACTTGTACTAGTACATGTACTACTTTTGGTTATTGTGGTGTATAATATAGGATATCTTCAAAGTACACAAGTAGAATTAAATAGAATAAAAAAATTTACCATAAGCCAATGATAACCAAGTCTTTCCTTCCACTTTTTACCAGTTTATAGCCTGTGATACTGACCACCTCTATTTTTTCTTTCTTTTTTGGAAGCTGCTAAAATGAACCTGGCTCCGTCCTGTCACCTCTCACTGCTCCTGCTGCTTGTTGTAAACTTAAAAGGTGAGTAACAATGAGAAATCTTTAGTCACACAGGACTGACTTCATATAACTAAAAGCAACAACATTATTTTATGTCATTGAATAGAGTAAAATTTATTTCAGAAAGTCAGTTAAATGTCTAATCCCCTCTTTGGCTCTTAGGTGTGTATGGGAACAGAATCATCGGGGGTGCAGAGGTAGAACCCTACTCAATCAAGTATCAAGCCTCCCTCCGGTTTATGGAATACCACTTCTGTGGAGGCACCCTCATCCACCCACAGTGGGTGGTGTCTGCTGCCCACTGCTGGAGACCGTAAGTTACTGCAGTTTTACACAGTGAAGGCCAGATTAACTGAATGTCCATGGAGGCATATGCTGCTCAAATCTCTGTATAGAAGAAAACATATTAGAATGATCTGGAACAACTGTGTCATCAGCTATTGATGATGAGCTCTCCTTTCTCCTTTGCTCTTTTAGGAGTCACATGATCCAAGTGGTCCTGAGTGAGCACAGCATACTCAAGGTGGAGGGAGGGCTTCGAAGGAGCATTCAATGTCTTCCGTTAATTGAGGCCACTACCAGTACCAATACTGGGACATTTTGACAATGATACATGCTGCTTAAAGGTAAGGGATGACTCGGGAATATGTCACATGGCTATGTTTGTCACAGATTGTGAATTGATATGGTCCCAGTGATTTTGGGGGCGTGAATTGAACCGATTTAATACATGTAATTATATCTGACTGACAAACTGATAAATCCATTGACCTGCAACGACACATTCTGCAGCTGTGTATGTCATGTTCCACATTTGTGCTGCTTCTCAAGGGACCCTTCACACAGAGTCTCTGTGTGAGTCTTTGAGTCTCTGACAGTGTGTTGTTGAAGAAGCATTTAGATCCTTAAAGGAACACAACAGCATGAAAATAGTCTCTACTCTCTACTATCAGCAAAATGTACTTAAAGTATCAAAGTAATCAGATGCATTTGTAGTGGCTTGCCTATAATGACACAGGTGGGAATTTTCTTTTCATTGACTTCAGTTCCAGTCAGTGAGGATACTGACTCACTGCTTTTTATTGCGCATATTAGGAAATAGAGCTCTATTAACAATTTTGCCCTGAAACACACTACAAATTATCTTACCTATTGAACTGTTGGAGACAGCTATTTAGCCCCTTTATTGAATGATCTGTTTCCATCAGTTCTCGCTTTATTCCTTCTATTATGTTTTATACAGTGTTTTTATGTCATTTTCATGAGTCATCAATCAATAGCGCAGACAGCAAAACAGGTCATTTAGAAGAGCAAATACATTCTTTATTCACATTTTAGAAACTCCATATTTAATGTGAAAAGAAGATGTACAATGGCACGTTCAGTATGAGCTTTTAATGTTGACTCACTGACTAAAGCGTATGCTCTTTGTGGTTCAGTTGGACCGTCCAGTTGTCATCAACTCCAGGGTCGAGCCAGCCACTTTGCCAAACCCAGACTCACCCCCTCTGGCCGGCCTCACCCGGTGCACAGTCAGCGGCTGGGGTGTAACCTGGCTCAACAGCTACAGCCTGTCACCCGTACTGAGGTCTGTGGATGTGGACATCTTTTCCAACTGCTGGTACTACTACTACTTCAGGATCACAGATAACATGGTCTGTGCTGGCTCTCTCTTCGGTGGGAAAGACTCTTGTCAGGTGAGGCACAAAGTCTGTGTTAGTATGTTTGTGTGTGTGTATGTGTGTGTGTGTTTGAGAGGTTGAAACTTCTTTTGGCTCTCATAGGAACCAATAGTCAAATCCCACCAGCCCCACCACTATCATACAAAACACAGGATTTAAACTTGTTGTTACTCTCAAATTGATTGACAGCAAAGAAGAGTTAAAAGTTATGGGTTGGGTGATAATGATCTCATGTTGTGTCACGACAGAGCAAACCCTTTCCCATCATACATAGTCCTTAGAGTAAATATAAAAATATTGATTAGTGGAGCTTAAAAGCTTTTAACATCATCATTTTGCAAGAAAACAAGAACACATTTTCAGTTATGATCAGTTGTTATTTTATCTTATATTAAATGTGTCACATTACCAGAACAACAACTCCCAACTGTTTTTTTTCCATCCTCAGGGTGACTCAGGAGGACCTCTCGTTTGTAACGGTAAATTTGAGGGCATTGTATCTTGGGGCATTGGCTGCGCCTATGCGTACTACCCTGGTGTCTACACCAAAGTCAGAAACTACGTTGGATGGATCAACTGGGTCACCCAGAACAGCTAATGAGACTCCTAATAACAAGCTCCACTGTAGTGAAGATTTGAATGGACCCAAATACCTTATGGGTATTTTTTTGTTGTCTTTTATACAATGCTTTTATATAAACATGATTTTTTATTTACTAAGAAAAATGTATCTGTAACATTCACCCCATGAGTGTGAACTCATTATAGCACACACAGTTACACGTACACAGTGAAGTGACTATTATCTTCATTTAGTGGCCGAGAGAGAAGACTCAGGTTATCATAAAAAAATAAACCAAGTCTGACATACAATATGTATGCAACTAAATGCACTTTACATTGTATAGTTAATCTATATCGTTTATAGTGTTTTCCATAAAAAAACATGGCACACATCCATTTCAGGGATCATTTTGGTCTTTGAAGCCTTTATTTCTCCACTGACTCAGATCTGACTCAGAGATGCTGGACCTAACAATAAAGATACATATTTTCACGATTGTCTCCTCTGTTATTGTTCATCTATCACACACAATAGATAAGGAACAAAATCAATCAGGAGAATAGTTTTCCACTGACTAGTATATTCACACACGTGAGTCGCAGCAACCTGCCTGAACTTCCCTTTAATATCATGTCTGCACCGAATGAATAATGAAAACACCGAAACCGCCTCCTATTGCCTCATGACAGGGTGTTGACATCCTAGCGAGTGATTGGCTGTGACTGCTCCCTCTCCCCCTTCACTGTGTCCCATTCACATTTAAACAGACTCATTCACTGACTCAAAAACACTCTCACAAACCCCAAGAGCAAGTATGGACCAAGTCAAGTTCAGCAGGAAGGTGATGAATATTAAGGACCACAGCTCAGGACACTTGTCCGAGGACATGGTCAAGAAGCTGATCCAACAGTCTCAGGAGGCAAAGAAGCAAGCCTATTGTCCTTACAGCAAATTCAGGGTGGGGGCTGCTCTCCTGACCCCAGATAACTGCGTGTTTACAGGTAAGGTACAAGTGAAACTTTGCCTCTGGATTGTTTGATTGGGGTAAATATTTGACATGAGGGTAAAAATGTAGGTTTAAGATGAACAGGAGTTTATTGAACATCTGCTTTTTTTATCAATAACTGCATACATATCATTTGTTTTTTTCTTATCAAGCTTTTTACTAAAACTAATCAATCAAGTTCTTTGCCAGAAAGTATTGTAAAGCTTCAGCACATTGCAAACAGGGAAGAACTCAGAGCCACAGCATTATGCAACTTGTGTTTGAATCCGTTCTTGCTGCTTTGTTGTTGTTTGAGATAATTGAACGTATGGATGAAGTAACAGAATGTTATTTAAAGCACAAGAAAATTAAACATTACTTGATCTGAGTTTAGTTAGCTACAACATGTTAATAATTACCTGACAGTTCAAATTACAGGACTCGATGAGGAAAGGTTTAATTTTAACACATCGGCCTACAGCAGCCCATCATTAAATCCTCACCAGGATGTTAATCATTCCAAGTGGTTGAACAATAAAAGCACGTTTCTCAGGACCAACAAGACTTAGCTTTTCCATGTGCTATGATGACCTTTTGCCATTGCTTGCATCACTTGGGTCAACCGCGCTGTACACACTGACAGGGATGTCAAATCATTGTCAACAGTAAGGCAAAAACACAACTCTCCTGTTCATGTTGCTGGACTGTACAAAGCTTAGCGAGTCACGTGTCCCTCAACAGAAATGTGTGGGGGGCAAATGTCTGGCAAACAGCTGTGAGTGCAAAGACCCATTGAGTAACTATTCGACCAGGACAGGACAGAAGAAGTGAACAGACAGACCCTTTGATGGTGAAAAGGCCTCTTTTGCTGATGACTAGTACTTGTGTGCCCGGCAGGTTGCAACGTGGAGAATGCGTGTTACAACCTGGGTGTATGTGCCGAAAGGAATGCGATCTCAAGGGCAGTGTCAGAAGGCCACAGAAGTTTCAAAGCTATTGCAATTGCCAGGTAATGTCCCCTATGTGTATATAATGTTTAATGTTTCTTACGAAACGAAAGCATCCAGCCTAACCTTGCACAAGCCCAGAGTCATCATTCCTGTCTTACTAAACCATGAGTCACTACTTGTGCTCAGTTTCCTGCACGTACTCTTTGCACGTCACTAAACCTTACCAAATGGCCTTATTAATTCTCAAACCTGCCCTATGTAACTGTTGGTCAAACGTTCACCAACAGGTGAGGCATTCAAAGGCAAGAAAAAAAAGACAGACATGTCTCTGTCAAGCAGCATTCAACATGCTGCACCTAAATGTAGAGGCTTTTTTAATGGCTTGTGATGATTATGATGCCTATATATATATATATATATATATATATATATATATTAGCCTTGTGAGAAAACTGTATAGAACAGAGCAATGGTAACAGAAATTAAAACATTTATAGTAGAGCAAATAGTTGTTAGTGGGGAACCTACAGTATTATTATTAAGAATGCTACAAGAACTTTGTATTCAACATTAATATTATATTAATGTTATTAATTTCCCCCAGATATAAACTTAATGTTTGTCTAGTCAAGAATACCATGCTTTTGTTTTGTTTACCAAATAAATTTTTCCTCATTCGTTGCAGTGACCTGGATGACCAGTTCATCTCCCCGTGTGGTGGCTGCAGGCAGTTCATGAGAGAGGTAAAATAATCTCTGCTGCTCTACTGTTTTAAGGTTTTCAAGGAGCTTTTAGTTTCCAGTCGGTGATAATTTATTGAGAGAAACATGAAAGAGGATTTAATGTCCCTTTTTTTTGTCATTTCCCTTTACAGTTTGGGCCAAATTGGGATGTGTACCTGTCAAAGCCTGATGGCTCATACCTGCAGATGACTGTGAGCGAGCTGCTGCCAGCCTCCTTCGGCCCTGAAGACCTATCCATGAAGAAAGTGTTTGACATTCCTAATGAGTACTGAGCCTGTACTGTAGTACAAAACACACACAAAGTGTTGGTTCCTTGTACCATATGACATGTACTGTGTATAATGCTGCTGAAAATGTGTATTCATGTTTAGCAGTAGTTCTATTTATGGTAAATATTTGTTCTTGTATCATCTACAGATTGTAAACAATGTCAGGTATTTAAATCTACTCCAAGTACAGTGTAATTTTGTTAATTTTATTTTATTCTATTATTAACATCAAGCTAATTGTTAGCTGGACTATTCATTGTGCCTTAATTAGTGATCAATTTACCTGCATTAAGATATTGAATGTCGCATTTTTGTAGATACAAATATTTTATAGTTTAAAGAAAGCGTAAATTACATAAATACCAAAGCAGGTCAAAGTTATCTGCACATTTTAATAAATAAACTGCTTTAAAAAGAAGTTTCTTTTAATAAGTTACACTTCATCTCTCACAGTTGAATATGAAGTTCAAAGGACATACAAGAAAAAAAAGATTACAAGTTACAGTGTACTGCAATTATTTCTTGTTGAGCAGCAAATTATTTCATTATAGCGTAAAAGGAGGAAACAGGAGATTAAACCTTTGAATTGCCAGTGCAAATTCAACATGTATTAGTCATTTTAGATCTACTTATCCCATGCATTACCGTGTACAGTGGTTTAAGGGCACAGGCTCAAAAAGGGCAATAACATAGTAGGATTTATTGTTTCTCCCTGATTCAGACAACTGATGAGAACAAAATTAGCCCCAAAAAAACAGCAACTGTAAAGACAAAAAAGGCAGATTTCGACATTCTGGGTACAACTTACCTAGAAAGACATCAAATTTAAACAGAATTCAAACTTGGCAGGTGGCATGTTAAATCTAGAGCTCGACCGATATGGGATTTTTAAGTCTGTTACCAATTTTAGAGGGGAACAATTCACCGATTCACTGATAGTAATAGTGAACAGTGAATTTTTCTGTTGGAATGAAAATAGAGCTTTTCTATGAGGATTGTGAATATGACTATGCAATGGTTCTCATTTTTCTTTAAACAAATAACTTTATTGTGCATATTAAAAAATGTAACATAATCACTTCAGAGAGCTGCTTGTTCTCTCTTCTTGTGCTGCCTGCTACAGTACTATAAATCACAGCACACTCTGCTGGTTAAACTGTGCAGTGACACCAATATATTATCTTTTTCTAGATTATATACCAAAAAAATATATGTTGTAATGTTTTCATATTGGCACATATCGGATAACATATACGCCCATACCAATATGATACCGATATGACTGCAATAGGCCAATTGCGGCGATAACATCGGTCGGGCTCTAGTTAAATCCCGTAACTAAACAGCAGCATGACATGGCAACTTGATCTGAGGAGAAAAAACACATCAGCAATCTTTCTTTAAAAGCCGAGTAAAATGTGGATTTATGTGAATAAGTTGATTTTTGCTGCTTACAATTCTGTGAAATTCTCTTTATGCCTAGATTCAAGAAGTCTGCGTCAGATCTCTAATAGCAAACCAAGGTCAATGATCAAGTTCAACTGAAGGCTCCTATAAGTTAAAAAAACAAACACATAATTTATCTATAAATTCAGTGCATCAGGCTCAGTTTCCAAGCCTTTATTCGTATTAACCTGCTTCCAAACAAATCCGATGTGGAGAGAATTCTGCCACACGCTGCCAAAGGTCAAACTCATGACAGAGGGCTGTTAATTGTAGAAAGATGTGTTCAGGTGCAGAGCAAATATTAGAGGTGGTTCAAAGGACTTAAGTAAAGCAAAAAAAGAAAATACGCTTATCTCTTGCTGTATGACTTCACCTAATCAATGTACAGAGACAAGAGTTAAAAGAAGAGGAAGTGAACACAAAGAACTGGAGTTAATCTGTAACTGACACACACACACACACACACACACACACACACACACACAGCTAGCTATTACAGCTAACGTCTGTACCCTGATGCTTATTGGCTGTTTGTGGGTAATAAATAGGGATAACTCCAGCAGCCACATGAGAGCAAATAAAGCAGTTCTGCATGCAATCATAGCTCTGCTTTGTACGCTGCTGTGGCTAACTACTGTGTGTGTGAAGAACAACTGTGTATGTATTTAAGAGCATATCAGGAGAAACTCCATCTGGTTTTTTTTCCCATAGCTTCTCTCCTCTTTCCTTCTTCTGTCTCTGTACAGCAGACATGAAGTGATATCTTACAGCTCAGCCTTATTATGCACATTTTAAAAGTTTTGTGGTAACACACTACTCTAAGCCATCAACTTCCACCTGCTCAACGCCATCTAACAGATAAAATAAGACATTCTGTAAACAGGCTGCAACAGTTTAGTGTGGCAACCTACATGTGTGACATGGATCTTAAATAATAATTTGAGAACTGCAAAACTGCATTCCTAAAGGACTTAATTAGGAGGCAAGACCACAAAGTGTGTCCACTACCATTTGTACCTTTCTTACTTTGACCTCAGCTTTCTGTGGAGGGGTTGTTAGTGCTTTCATTGAGAAAGGGCCATGCAGGGACCCGTAATCTGGGTAGGGTGCCCTCCATTAGCCTCTCCATCCACAGTCCCAGCCTGTCAAGCTTGTGGTGGACTTCTATGCTGGTGGCCCTACTGGAGCCTCGTCTGGGTACGGCCCCATCCTCCCTGGAATGGGACCTGGATCGAGAGTGGGAGCTGGACCTGGACCTGGAACGGGACTTTCTCCTGGTGTCAGAGGAGAATGAGGTCTCGGATGAAGAGTCATTGGGATCGTCCCCCGTGAAGACGGGTCTGAAGAGGCAAAAGTATTTTTTGTGGCCATTGAGGGCCAGGACATGGCCACTGTAGTCTAAAGATTCCTCGTCCTCGTCTGAGTAACCCTCGCTCTGCATAGCATCAGAGGTTGACCGAAGGAGCGATGCCATCCAATGGCGGTGCTTATCAGCGTTGAGGAAGGAGAAGTGGAGGGTCTGAGTCCTGCACAGGCAGAAGGGTTTGGGGTTAATCAGTGGACCAAACATTGGTAAAAAAAAAAGTACGCAATCAGGGCAGCTTAGTGGACAAGATACATATTATAGTACATTATTGTCTTTTACAGTATTGTGCTGTACTGTATTGTACCATGATATTATCATTTATCATTTTTAATTTTATTTAACTAAAATATCAGAAGCCACTAGATATAAAACAAAAGTTTGTCAGAAATGTGGTCATCTATGGTCAGAACTCGCAAGGCCATTTTAGGATGTATTTTTTGATACGTGTGAATAAACTAATACAAACGAATACTATTGGAGACAAAAAAAAATGATCATGCTGAGACTTACCCAGAGAAAGAAAAAACCTCCTTGGCAAATTTCCTGAGCAAGGCAGTCTTGGAGGCGTTGGTGAGCACCAAGACAACATTGATGTGGCCCGGCCTCAGCTTGACCAGGTTGCTGGTGTACGTGATGTCTGTCAGCTCTGTCACTTCCACAAAGTCCTTCTTAGGAGGACGGCTGCATGGTCCAATGAGAAAGACAGAGGGAGGGAAGGAAAAGTGGGTTTTACAGCTACCAATAGCTCTCTCAATGGATATGTGACATGCGAGTATTGTATTTAGACAGAACCCATCCTTTAAGCACCACAGTAGAAGCAGGAGATATTTTCTAGCTTGGGGCAATTTCCTTTGTGAAGAAGCTATGTTAATTATTGCTGTGCTATAATTAATATACCTCACATAACATAAACCTGGTGAAGTGCACACAGCTGCCAAATGTTCTCAAATGTCCACCTCAGTATATCTCTAAATCTGGATTACTGGTAACATAAAGACAATGTGTTGACAACAAACAGTCAGTTAAATTAATTTAAACGTACACACATACAGTGGTTATCAGGACAATATAGGTTTTTATCTCCAGCAGATAAAGTTCAGTCCCTCTATTGATCGTGGAAAAATCCCAGCAACATGTCCACAAACAGTGATGTTTTAAGGTGAAAGTCATATTTGGAGGTTGGCTCAGAATTGAGTTTAAAATATTGTATAGCAGATAGAGCAAAAGTAAAATAAAACTCTGTCACAGCAAAACACTATGCATTAGTCAGTAGAAGATACAGGGACAGTTTTCTGGCAAACCCCTGACACACATCTTTACTTTCTATTTATGGCAGTTTGGGCAGTATATGTCTGTGAAAATATGAATTCACTATACTACTGAGTTTAGTTTAGTTTAATTATTAATGATTAGAGTTCTTGTGGGGCTACGGGGATGCTTTGACAACTCAAGGACATGTTTGAGTTTGAACAAACCCACAAAGCCCCCATGGTCCTGCCGGTTGGATAAACAGCCATTCAACTGCAAAATAAGTTGTCAACAATCATCATTCAAGCAGCCTGTGTAATAATTAAAATACACTGCTTTTTGGTGACTTTCCAGTTTTCTGCTGTTGTGCTTCATATTGTGTATTCACTTCATTTCCCTCCATTACCTTGAGGTACTAGCTCTACTTGAAGCGTCGTCCTCAGATTGCGGTTGCTCCTTTGGCTTTGGTTTCTGGGGTTTGCTCTCACCTGGCTCACTGGAAATACACCACAGAAGGAAAATCATGCAGTGTGGACAAACAATTGCTCTGATTCCTTTGGGGCAGAGCCTGTATTTGACTCGACTAGACTCAAAACCAGGAATAATTGTGTAGAATTAGAAGACAAATGAGATAAACAAATGCTAAATAACACATTTCTACTGTAGATCTAGTCAGTATCATTAAGAATAAGACATTTTAAATTTAAGTCACTTCAAGTCACTGATGGTTGGGTATATGATTAAAATGTCTCAGACTGAAACAGGGTCGTGTCTCTCTCACCTGAAGGCCTGAATGATAACGGTGCCAAAAAGAATGAAGAGAGCTGAGAAGATCAGTGACAGGATGGGCATCATCTCTCGCCTTGATGACAGAAAAGTGTTCTTATTGAAACATGTAGGAGAAAATACACGCCAGACCATATCAAACAATAACAGCTTCCATGTAACCGCTGTGTGTGGTTACATTTTCGAGAGGGTGCATCGTGGCTAAGATGTGACACTCAATGCATCCCCCACCCATCAGGTAATTCTGGCAACATCTTGATGCCGCAGCATGATTCAGCTTCTCACGTATTTCCTGCCTTTCTCTTTGTTGCACAATTGGACATTCTGGGTGAGTGTTGTCTTACCAGTTTGAGTAGAGAAGGTCATCATATATTTGAAGAATGTAATCATAGGCAGCATTCATCCACTGAATAATGAACATCTGATAGAAAAGAAAACAATGACATTAATCCAAAAATTGTTCCAGTGAAAATTTCCCATCAGTCAGTGCGGCCCCCAGCGCAGTGGCCTCAAGGCGACTGTGTGTCTGCGGTGTCTTACCGGGGCCATCTCGTTGTTGAGTTCTGGCAGGGTGGCGTCTGAGCTCAGATAGGTGGGGTCTTTCTGAAGGAGCTCTAGCTGTTCGTGGAGGCGGTATTTATCTTCTTCACTGCCGTTCCAGCCACCGCTCACAGAGCGGTATAGGGCCTTGCCAGCCTGGCTCCGCCTCTCAAGAATCACCACCTGTAAGCAGTGTTATAAAGCACTTTTACTGTAAAGTGAGGCTATGCAGAGTCTCAGGATGCACATATCGGTAATCTGACACATATCAAATTCGGTACGTTCTGGAAACAATCTGGACATTGTGGTTACAAAAGGCACATTGTCCTCGATGTTAGATTGAAATCAGATGGCTTCATTTGTACAACATACATTTGATTGTAGGAGCATGTTATTTAGTTAGTGTATTGATGCATGTGTGTGGACTATGCATGTGGTTCTGACACTGACCTGAGGTGAGGCTGCAGCCTGATTATGGAGCAGTGCCTGACAGAGAGGCTGCTGCTGACGCTGGTAGACGTACGCAAACCGCAGCACCTCTTTTCTGTTAGCTGTTGCGAAGTCCAGGAAGGCCTTATTGCCTGGGAGAAAAGCTTGGTCCTCCCCTGTTATCAGCAGTACACAGTACCTGCAAACCATTTACAGTCTAGTCACCTGCTACAGTGGCATAAATGCACAACATTTCAGTTCACAGTGTCAACCACCTGTCCAACTTTGCTGCTTGAATTTCATTTTCCTACACTTATCATATGAAAAGTCAAATTTAGCCTTGGCTAAGTTTAGTCATTTCTTTTCTTTCTTCAAGGAAGATGCCTCTTTTGAACAAGAGGTAAATTCAAGTGAGTGATATTAAGTGCTGCAGCAGGACCATTTGCTCAGAAAATGTCTTACTTCCTCCGTCTGTGGAACTGCTTGACAGGACACAGCTCATCGAAAAGCTGCTGGTTGACCAGGCGTGGCACCTGCAGGAACTTGTTGTTGGAGACAAACTCATCCATGATCTGTCGCTTCATCCCTCTGGCCTGAAAGAGTGGGTGAGAAATTTTGCAAAATGACAAAAATCGCAACTGGGAAAACAAGCAGATTCATTCATTTAACAATTAATTATTACAAATGAATTAGACTTCACGTTTTAGGCTACAAAACATCCAGTTTAAAACTAGCCAGTATGTTTTGATATAGCAGGAGAGGATGCTTTATTACTATTAAACGAGGGAAGTGATGGTTCAGGATTTACCTGGATGATGTCAACAGGCTTCTCTGTATCCTCCTTAAACAGCAGCATGGTGGGGGCGTATGTGTTTATGTTAAACTGCCTCAGTAGCCGAGTGTTGTGTGTGTCACCCTGGTCCACGTAGCCGAAGCGCACATAGTCTCTGAAGGCAAATGCTGTTAACTGGAGAGAGGGAGTGGGAAGATGAGATCCTCAATAATAAACACAGTAAACTCAGTAAGAGAAGAAGGGGTAAAAAAAACAAAACAGTAGAGGTCAAGGCTGACTGATGAAACTTTGTTCCCATCTGTTCCTTTGGCATTAAATTCAAACAATGTTGCCAGTGCATTTGACTGCATTTGTTAGGTTAAATAAGACAATGTTATGTAACAAAGGAGGAAATATTAATGCTTTACATTAGTAACCTAAAACATTATTTCAAGCAGAATGAGCTGCACACACAGATGCATCTGTAGTTGCTGTTGGGGTTTAATCTATCTGCTCCCTATTGGTGTAATTGGTGGAAAGTGCACCAGATTTCAGAATACTAACCGGCTTGAAGTGCTGGAGTAGCTCTCTCTATTTTTCACTATAACATTTAGTAGCACTTGTGTGTGCTGTGTGCGTGTGTGTATACAGTACACATTGCTTACTTTATAGAGCAGGGGAACAACAGGGACCTGGTCAAACAAGAGAACGCTGGGCTTATTTTCCGCATGCCAGCTATCCAGAAAACCCAGGTAGTTGTCATCTGTGATCTGGAGAAACAACGGCAATTAGTTCAAAAACTTTATGTAAAAAAAATATATATATATTGTCTATATCTTACTTAAAGTTCTTTGACAATAGCACACATGTAGTGTATTATTGTTTGTTGCATTTACCTTTTCCACCAGTTTCTGGGGCAGCAGGTCTTCAATGAACTGTCGCAGGTGCTCCCGTACCACAGCCTGATTGAAGAAGGTCACCCTGCCATTCACCAGTCCGATGATGGAGGGAACGCGGTGAGCTCCCAGCTGGTTGGCCAGGCGACGCTCATAACCCAGGTCCACAATGCCAATGCCAACACCTGGTATAACAGTAAAAAATAGACTGCTATTATATCTGATACAGTAGAACAACACACAAGTGTTCTTGCAATGAAAGAAAACTTAAAACAAACTTTATAAAGTGTTACTAAAACCAGTACATGCAAACTCAGTGAGCAAAATCACAATTGATGCTGCAGCTCCAGTCGAAGAGATACTAAAAGATTTGAAGAGAAGCCACTCAAACACTGGACTTTTACTCCAGCCTTTGAAATTAGTGAGAAACTGCCTAATGGACGGGGTTCATAAAAGATGCATACTGCATCTGTTTTAGTGTCTCAGAATCCTATGAATATATACCACTGTATACCACAGCGACAGAGAAAACAAGTCAAAGCTGATTTTGACCAGAAAGAAAAGCTGACTTACTTTGATTTTTAACTTTTCACTTTTATAATGCATACAATGTGCAGTGTTTTTGACATTGTCATAGAGGTGCTCATTCAATCATGTTTAGGCATTGAGGTCATAGTTACTGGTGGTGTTATACTGGACTGCCTAGTCTAGTACAACACCACTACTAACTATGATATCAGTAATAAACATATAAACAAATTAATTGACACTATTCCGACAATGTTACGAGAAATTTAACATTATCAGTTTTTAATAGATTTTATAGCAGAGCTGTTGTATTGGATTGCAATGAATGACTGAAGATGAAAACAGCGCTAAATTTTGAATATGAACACTGGACTTTCCCTTGATAGGTGGCCAGAAACACAACTACAAATGACTGCTATTGTCTGCTGGTTGTGTAAATAGCTGCAACTGTTTGCTCACATGTTAGCCATAACTACTTTATGAGGCCATAGTATGTCAGAAGTGTTATTCTTATTGTCGTTATTGATAAATTGAAAAATTATTACAGGAAATGAAAAACTTAAAATTACATTTCAGCAATCTCATAGTTTCTCGATTACGATTCTCAAGTATTTGCATTTGAAATTTCGTAGTATTTTAATAGTATTCAGTTTTTTTTTTTAATCAATGTATTTCATTTCAAAATGTACATTTGAAATGTACCACCATAGTTTGAGAACCAGAGAACAACAATCATTTTCTGTAACAGTGTTTTTCTTAAAACACATCAAGCAAAGCCAGAGATAACTTTATGTACTGAGCTCACCTCAGGTTACATCCCGTTAAAATCTTTTAACATCCATTTTCATCCATACTGAATAAAAATACCACCGGTTATGACTGCTTAGTGTAGTAAAGAGCAATGGGTTTTGTAAAGGATATTCGTACAGAGTCGGCCACCTAGTTATTACAGCTTACGCATGAGACTACACGTCTATAGGACACTGGGAACTGTACGTCTAAATAGTAGAATTAACTCAACAACTTTAAATTCATCTCCAGCGCCAGACTATAAAGCCCTTAGCCTTACCCTTTGTAGCAGGAAACTAAGAGGAACAAATAAACCCTGCTGGATAATTATAGAAATGGCTGGCTCTCTGTAAAGCATCTTAACACTTAGAATTACATTTGTCCTAATGGCCTGGAACTGAGTAAACATCCTCTCTATGTTATGATGCTTTTAGGAAAACCAACCCTGATCCTCAGAGTGTGGGGGGACGGGACTGATGGGGCTGACGGGAGTCTGGTGACAGCAGACTTACCCAGCGGCTCCAGCTCCTGCACCGTCTCCTTCCACACAGGCTCAATGTGGATGCATGCAAAGCACCACTCGGAGGTCGCTTTGATTAGGTACGGCCTCTTGTGGCTGTCTGGAAGGATATCGCTGTTAAACTGTGCGTGGTGAAGCAGGTACTTGCTGTCCGCAAAGTCCCTGGACCTGGAGGAGAGTCAGAAGCAAGTCAGTGAGGCTTTTTTTAGACATATCCCACAGGGTGCTGTCGGGGCACGACCTGAGAGACAACTGTCTAAAACTCTGATTTGTTCACTCATTCTAAATCTTGGTGCTCATGCTCAGTAGAGGTAGAGCTCCTTCTCTGAAACAACTTATTAAAAAGGACAGTTTCACTACTTCATTTCTGAGGACGTGCACAACCAGCGGCCCAGACGGACGCAGGACACACAACAGCCATCATGTGACATGCGCATAGTTAAAAGAGTAAATGTACATTTCTGGCCTAACAAGGACCTAACAACAACATATTTCTCCATTTAGTAATAATGATAAGCTCTTAAAAGTCATAAGGCTGAAGGCCGAGTGCATCAAGTCTGCTACTAATAATTATACAGTTAGCGGAGCTCAATTTAATGTCTTTAAATTGCTTTTTTGGCAAAAACCTCAAAAGGGTATTTCATTCACAATGGCATGAAATTAGGTATCAAGCATTTTATGCATTTAATCCATTTGTCATCGGTTTTCTGTTGATTGATTAGCTCTATTATTTCCACACTACATTACTTTGTCATACAAGTTTACTAAACAACAATAACTGCTTGCAACTAAGACTCTTGGGCATAGGATGACAGTAGTTCTGTTTAATGCTCATCAATAACCAAAAGCAAACACAAGGAGGAGTCCAACATACACCACTTAGCCCAGTATGGATTGGAAACAGCAGCATGCTGGGAAATAAATATTGATGAAGTTACGGGAAGTTGCAGAGAGAAATATTCTGTCAGAAGAGAAAGAGGAGGAGACCTGTTCTCCTATCAAACACAATATGATCCAAAGTATGCTGGCACTTGGCTTTTGACAGTGACACCTACTAGATAATAAATGAACATGGAGTACCTGGGGAAATGGAAAAAGGACTCATCAAAGTAGAAGCTGTTGTGGAAGCCGCGGAAGCCATGATGCTGGGACTGGCCGAAGGGCTGGTTTTCATCCATCTGCCCGTAACGGTCAAAGTTGGACCTTCGCTCCTCATTAGAGAGAATCTGTGAGAGGTAAGATCAACGTTGTAATTACTGCAGACCATGATACAGAAAGTGAAACAGACTGCTGAAACATAAAAACATAATGCCAGTCAGAGGTGTCAGCTGTAACAGTGCATGCATGCTCACCCACCTCATATGACTTAGAAACCTTGATGAACATGTCCTCAGCTTTAGGGTCCTTGTTCTTGTCTGGATGCCTAAAGAAAATAAAACATAGCCAATACACCATAATTGTACCCCACTGCTGGGTCACACAGGGTTAAACACGTCTAACAAACACCGGCTCAGGTGTCAAATGTCCACTGCTGTCTGAACAGGGCTGGTACAGCCGAGATGTGATTGTAGGGGACCTGGTGTCAGTCACTCACCATTCTTTGGCAAGGGTCTTGTATGCCTTTTTGATTTCTGTTTGACTCGCACTCCTGCTCACGCCCAGGATTCTGTACGGGTCATACTCAGAAGCTGTTTTCACCAAGTGCACAGTCAATAATAGCAGAAAGATGGCGAGCAAAGCCGGACATGTCCGAGGATGTCGGCTGGCTCTCCTAGCCGTCATAGCTCGCCACTGTCCTCGTCCCAACGTTGACGTCAATTAGCTACCGAGCCGCCCGGTGAAGTGTCGTTAATACAAAGCTACTGTCTAACGGGAGGACGTGTCAAACTAAGAGCTTACATGACCCGGTGCGCTGACTTATTGGATGTTAAGCTCAAACGACATTTTGTCTAGTTTACTACGATGAGGCCATTATTTTTTTTTCTCCCAGTAAATGCAAATCGTCAGTGTCATGTCCGCAATGGAAGGTTGGGCTTCCGGTTGCAGTTTTTCAAAATAAAACACTGCAGAACCACGTTTACAGCATGTATACTGTCAGTGGTTCACACTGCTGGGTTTAAGTTAAGGGTTTTAGTGCTCAAGTCGGATTTGTTGCTCAGATCTGATGTTTGTTTGTTTTGGGTTTTTTTGTTTGGCTGACAAATGTGGATCTAGAGTGAAAAATGAGACCTGTATCTGATTTGTATCACATATAAAAGTGGCCCAAATCAGAATTGAAAATCAGATTTGTGCCGTTCACACTGTCAGGACAAAAACAGATCTGATGCTGCATTCACATCATGGATTCAGGCACCTTCCTCACAGCACGGGAAAACAAACAAACCGTCCAACATACTGAATAAACACATGAAATAAAATAATGTTATGAGGCCCTGTGAACCGTCCTGTTCTTGTACAATTCTTGAATTGTTATTTAATCTGTTCATTGATAAATAAAACTCTGATGCATTAGTTGATTCACCTTGGCTGGGTTGTTATTATCCTTTTTGAGTTAGATAACTGCAACACTCATTTGAAACAAAGGTACATCCGGTCACTAGTTATGTCTGCAAACTTGACGCTGCATCACTCGATACTGGCGTCAACGCGCATGCGCCAAGCAGCAGCAGCTGTCTTCAAACTGCTCTCTTCTCTTTCATTGTCCTTTTTTCAGCTGATTTCTGATTACAGTTGCCATATTTAACAAAGACAACGTTTTCGCTGCACTGTTATTTTTTTTTTTAAATGAATGCAACTGTGATTCTGTATTGCAAAAAAGTCCAAAAAGTTAAGCTAAGAGTTTGTTTATTTTTGTGCAGCTTGTATGTCATTTGTTCCAATTAGAGCAACAATTATAGAAAGAAAAACTAAACATTTGTCCATATGAGTGTTTATTTTGTGGTGTTTTTAATATTCCCTTTTTTCGGGGGCTTCACTTCCGTTTCCTCGTCGTCACGGCCACACAGAACTGATTTTGGTTTACACTACGAGACAAATAATGAACACATCGGTACCGGGCTCAACTCACCCAGCGGACGATTTAAGCTGCTTATAGTAACCTGTCTGACCGACGCCGCTGGACTTAGTGGTTCCAATCTCCCGTTTAGAGCAATATGAGCAACTTGTGTGTGTTTGCATTGACTGCAGTGAGCCTACAAAGTGCGCAGAGGGTCTTATCTCGGTAGCTAGCGTTAGCTCTGCAAAGCTGCTCTCTGTGGCCCGCCCTGGCTGTATCTATCACCGGACAGGTACTTTTCGGTAAGCTAAGGTAACTAACACATACTTCTAATTATTCATGCTTACAACATTGATGTGACACATGCATACAGGCTACAGTTCTACTACTAAGTTTAGCAAGCAGGTGGTGCTAAACAATCCTGGCTGTGCAGCTGAGGCGATGGTTACTTGCTCGATAGCTGCAGTTATCCGAGGCAAAATATGGCATCCTAATGCAAAAAATGGTAACCTCAGTACCAAACTTTAAAACCCAGGGATTGAATGTACACAGGCTGACACTGAACGACACATTGGCCATCCTTTCTGATGCTCGTACGTGTTTGTTTACATCTGCCATGTCTGCAAACACAGCCGTAAAATAGCAAATAATCAGTGCTGTGTGATTAATAACTGCATCTTCAGTTAGACATATATTTAAATTATACAATGAGAAACACAAATAAGTCTTTTATAAGTCAAACAGTTTGCTTTTGCTTCTCAGTTTTCTGATGATTGCTTGCAGAAATGTATGGCTGCAAACTATAATTTGGGTGTTTTGATGATTGACCTGATATTTATATTTACATTAATACTAACAATCATTTGTGTTTTCACCCCAGACTCAGCACCATGAATCTCTTGCGTCTCGTGTGCCGCCACAAGACGGCGCTGGTCATCGGTACTGTGTGCAGCTTTGCTGTAGTTCTGGTCTTCTTGGCCAAATGTACCTCAGAAACCCTGAAACAGGGCCACCAGGATCCTCCTGGCCTAGCCCCTCATGCCAATGCTTTGCAGCCCCGTCCAGAGCAGCCTAATGCCCCCTCCACATCCAAAGACTCCTCAGCATTCCTTGTGGTCCTCATCACAACCGGACCTAAGTACACAGAGCGGAGGAGTATCATCCGCAGCACGTGGCTGGCCAAGCGGGACTCTGATGTTCGGGCCATGTTTGTGGTGGGAACTCAGGGACTTCCCAATGAGGACCTTCAGAATCTTAACACCGAGCAAGGGCGGCACAAGGACTTGCTCTTGCTGCCTGACTTGCGAGATTCTTACGAGAACTTAACTCTGAAGCTGTTGCACATGTACTCCTGGCTGGACCAGAATGTGGAGTTCAAGTTTGTCTTCAAAGCAGATGATGACACATTTGCTCGCTTGGACCTCCTGAAGGAGGAACTGAAGGGGAAAGAGCCTAATCGGTTGTACTGGGGCTTCTTCTCAGGGAGGGGGCGAGTGAAAACAGCGGGGAAGTGGCGAGAAAGCTCTTGGGAGCTTTGTGACTACTACCTGCCCTATGCACTGGGTGGCGGATACATCCTCTCAGCTGACCTGGTGCATTATGTGCATCTTAACGCAGGGTACTTCAAGACGTGGCAGAGTGAGGATGTGTCACTGGGTGCCTGGCTGGCACCAGTGGATGTTCGGCGGACACATGACCCACGCTTTGACACAGAGTACAAATCGCGTGGTTGCAACAACAAATACCTGGTGACACATAAGCAGAGCTTGGAGGACATGTTGGAAAAACACCAGACTCTGCAGCGTGATGGCAGGCTCTGCAAGGAGGAAGTCAAGCTGCGATTATCGTATGTGTATGACTGGAGTGTGCCACCCTCACAGTGCTGCCAAAGGAAGGATGGCATTCCTTAATTTTTGTCCTTTTTACAAGGCTGAAGTTGGCTTCTGATTTGTATTATTTGAGTTGGGAAAAGATTAAGACATAATGTTTTTTAACCAATTCTCCATTGTTACACTATTTAAAGTTGTGTGACGGGTCCCAGATATCATAAAAAATGCCTTAATCCTGTTTAAAAAAACTATTTTCAGATTCAGAGAACCATTATTCTCATGCCGATAACAAAAAAAGGGTGATTTCAATGTTTTTTCGTCATGTAGACCGTGCAAGAGCAGGTTAAAAAAACACTATAGGGAACTTTTAGAGTTTTCATGTTCATTAAGTATAGGTTTGACAAATTTAGGCATGGTGGTTTTTGAGCTAGATCTGGTCTAATGTTGTCTAGATGGAGGAAAAGTAATGACATTACCTCTTTTTCAGTTTTCACAAACCTAATAAAGGTTTACCAAATCCGTTTGATGTGGTCTGGATGAAGAACAAGTAATTGAATCACACATTTTTTCTGTTTTTGGAAACAGAACTTTAAGTGGAGTAACAACAGAGAATTCACTCAAAATCCATATCCCATAACTCTTAAGTAGGAAGCTAACTTCAGCCTAGTGTCCTTTTTGACTTGTAAACTCCTTTGGCCTTGTTATTTGGACCCATGCTTATGTCAGTGCTCTCCTTACCTACAGTTTACCACTCTGGTGGCCTACTTCTCTCCTCTGTCAGTGCTTCTTCTGCTGTACCTTTTGCTTAATATTTTCCAGCACTATGAGATATGTTTAAGGTTATTTCAGTGTAGTAGATAGTACAGTGAAACACAGATGGGAGATTCTTATCCTGCCATGATGTCTACATTTTTTGTGAAAGCAAATTGTTTTGTATTTTATTTATTGTTAATTTATTCTGCAGCAAACACAACACACTGATATTGAGCTGGGACAGAAGCACAGTGGCTGTGGTTGCTGTTTGTGAGTAGAGTTTGTATTTATAAATTTGTTGGGGGGGGGGGTCATATATATATATATATAATTCACAGAATTAATGGACAAGAAATGTTAACTTTTTAAATGTAAAACCTTTGTTTACTGCTAATGGTACACAAAGTGTCATGTGTTTTGGAGGTACAAAGAATGTAAGAGAAAATGGTTTAATGTGCTTTATTCAGCAGGCCTTCTTATTCCTGAAACAGTCTAAAATTTAAAGGTTCTATATATAACTTTCAGAAAACTGTTGTTAATAGTGACACCAGTGGCTGTTAAGGAAACTGCAGTCAACAACATGTTGCTCGCATTAGCACTCTGTACACAGTCCGGGCACAAGCTAGCATCATCCTAGCCGTCGGCCAAAGGGGACATACCGTACACAAGACTGAACACTGGAAAATACAGTTACAGTCATATTTAGAATAACATTACAGTCTGCAATGTTGCAGTATTTTTTTGGACCATTGACTTCATGCTACTAACCAGCTTGCTGTTTACAAATCCCATCAGCCAACATCATGAAGCAACCAATGCCAGACACACAACACGCAGCCAAGCCACAGCCAGCCGGCCAACCCCAGCTTAGCTCAGGCTACATTTAGCTAGCTGGATGCCCCTGCCTCCAGCAATCGTTTGTTTTGTTTCCGTTACATAATTTATTGTTGGCTAAAATCAACACAGTTTGTCATACTACATAAGTTAGTATCATGGATCATGTTAGCTGGGAAAAAATTTTGCAAGCTAACGTTAGCCAACTGACATATCAACTCATCTCACGTTAGCGAGCGAGCAAGCTAAGGTTAGCCAGCTAGCTGAATAACGTTATCCGGCGCTGGCTGCCCCCGCAGTGACAGCCGGCAAAGTAACCTACAAACGTAAAGGTAGCCAGATCACCACCTTAATTAATACTATAATAATAATATGTAAAATGCTTCAGAGATTTACGTATGGAACCTTTAAAGTTTAAGTCAGTACATTTACTGTTCATGGATATCAAGTTATTTGTGAATGTTTGTTTGCAGATTCAGACTGAAAAACTTGATATAGACTACCAGCTGGCACTTTTTTTTTTAAATAGAAATATCATTTTAAAGTCCATGAGTATTCAATGATGTGATGTCAGTAGCTGTGTCCCAAAACTTGTGAAATGTGTACAGCGTTGATTTAAAGGGTACGATATGTTGGAGCACAAACAGATGAGGAGTGCTGCAAAAAGAGCCACATCCAAGTTCATTTTAATGACCGCTGTTACGTTTTTATGAACAATGACATGATTATTTTTCACTGTTGTCACTAGCAGAACACAACTTAAGTTTCAGTGTTCGTTTTTACGTACATGGTCAGCCTCCCTGGATGTTTTATTAAAAACTTTCAATGTATTTTTGTCATTTATATTCTTATATAGTCATTGTATAAAAGGATGTGTCATAGTTGAATGCAAACATGTTGTAAAAGTCTCTACAAAAGGCAGAACTGCTACCAAGAAGACTTGATAAATGATTTTTAAACAAAACTTAATATAGCCATTAACAAATGGTTCTAACGTAAAAACACGCTTTTTTGGCTTGATGGCTTAAACTTCAAACTTCAAAATTTTAACTCAATATTATCAATAAATTGATCCATTATGCTTAAACATTACTCTCAAAATAAATCAGTTTTGATTATTCCAATCTGAAAAATACGCAGTTGTCAATCAAAAATGATTCTCCTTTTTACTGATAGTGGGAACTTGTCTGCTAACTGTTTGTCTGGTCGTCACGAGGAAAACGTTTGGCTACGTTTCAGGGTTCCTCTCACACGAACAAACTCTGGTTCATTCTGCCGGCTCTCACTCCTCTTCTTCTCCTCCGGCTGGTACTGCAAGACAGGTAACATCTGTGTTTGGACATCCTCCTTAATGAGATTGTACATTTGCCAATATCTACAGGCTTGTTCACACATGCCCAAAGACTAAATAGATTATTACAAATGCTGTCATAATGAGGTTACTGTATGCCGTATTCCCTTCTTTGCTAACGTCCTTACCATTTGCATTCTCTGCTGTCTCGTGCATAGCTTCACCTCCAAGTCAGAGGGAGGACAGAGGGCCAGCTCTCTCTGCTTGTGTTGCTCTCTCTGTTTCTGTTCCAGCACACGCTGCAGCTCCGGCTGTTTTCTGGGTAGTAGACCTCTGATGACACATGGGAAAAAAATAAGATTGGATCTCTAAATGAGGATAAGCAACCAAAAACCGCATAAAACTTCTTACCTGGAGTATTGTGAATGTATTTCAATGGAAAGCAATTCTCAATTCAGCTGATGAAGTCTGGGGTTTATGTTGAGTAATCATATCATATTTGGAATAAATATTGTTGGGTTCCTAACTTTTTTTACTACTTCACAAACCAAAAACCACATTCTGTAGATTTTTAGGTAGTTATATTGTTTTTGTTTAGAGATTAAGAGGACTGACTTGGCTCTGTAGATGGATTAGCATTGATCTCTAGCAAGGTGTTTTACCTTTGACTTGATCGGTGTTAAACGCCACCTAAACATGCTGCTTACCCCCGGCCACAACTCTGGCCGGCTGGAAAGAGGATTCTCTGACTGTGGCAGGAGGCGAATAAAATGCTGATCAAGAGTTCCTTGAATAATATCTCATTTTTGTGTACATGGATAAGCATGTACCCGCGGCCTATGTGACCTGATCAGAGACAGCAGGTACGGAGCTCAGTGTTTTCTCACCGTCTGTAGCAGAATAGCAGCTCTCGGTGAAGGGCTCTGTGTTGGTGAGAAGCCAGTACAGGATTTGGCAGCATGGGTTTGATGAGGTCACCACCCTCCTGTTGCTGACTCTCTGTTACCTGGCGTGGTGGGACCATCCAGCAGTGATGTCTCTCTGCCATACACAAGCCAGCACACACAGTCACATATCCTTGTCAGTCTTTTATCTTTATGTAGTTAAATGTTTAAAAAAAAATGTTGTTTCTTATGTTAAAGTTATGTCTTATAAGAGTGACTTTGAAAGTGATCGGCTATAACTTCTGACTAAATGAGAAGATCATTTCATTTGTTTCTTTGATTCACTAAAGCAATATAAACTTGAGTTTATCTTACCTCTTCTACTTTGAAGACCTGTTTTTTGTGATGCCTGAATGAAGAACAGCAGGAAAGTAAGTCAATTCCATTTGCAAAATTGAATTGATGTAAAGATCTTTTGTATATTTTTTTAGCCTTAAAACATGCAAATTCACACAGACCACACTTTGTCAACACCTCTTTAAATACTCACATCCACATGAAGAGGAAGTCATTGTTGAGATGATATGACAGTTTATAGTATTTTGTTGTAGGAACAAGTTGTATATTACATTAAAAATCCACTGATGTATGTTTTCAAAAACAAGAAGCTACTTAGTTGATATGTTTAATGGATTAAAGGACGGTCACAAATTATGCTTTCAGTCAGTTTAGTGTCTTTCATAAACCTATAAAAAATACAAGAAAATGTGCAAAATAAAATCAACATGGTTTATGAATATTATCAGCTCTACATATAAAGGCTGTAGTATGAGCTTCCTGTTATGAAAATAAATGTTATTTCAACTTTATCACAGTTTTTGAAGTCCTAATCTTCTTCCATTCTTTGAAAACCTGAGCCCAGAACAAACATCGCCCAACTCAGATATCATTAGGCATAATCAGATGATTTCCCCCTCAGGTTATGATAAATCATTTACTAACTTCCAGTTGTTATCCACATCATTACTAACATCACATCACACCACAGAAGTAATGATAAAAACTGTCTCACCTGTGTGCTGTTGTAAAGACGCATTGCTGGAAAGTGAGATGTGCTGTTTACGCAGAAGCAAATGGTTGAGGAGAAGGAGCAGAAGCTTACTGTTGTTCTCAGGGTGCACAGTGAGCTGCAGCTACAGTGAGGCTGATCTAAACAGGTGTGCTACACTGTCCTGTGATCAAATCTTATTAACTGTCCTACAACCCTTTGTTCCACCCTTGTTCCCATCAGGAGAGAAACTCCTGTTGTCTCTGAGGCAGGAATAACATATGAAGGGATTAGGATAATGTAATGCAATAACACTGATTAGGATAATGCAGCCTGAAATACCAACAAAACAAATATGGCTTTTGTGCTTGTACTTTGTGGATCCAACAATTATCACACACACTGAGGGGAGTGAGGTATATTCCAGATTCACTTAAATTCTAATGTAGTGTTAAATCTATCTTTAATCTAGTTTTCCCACAATATAGAGTTACACAGTACTGTCCTGCTGCCTTCAAATTATATTTGAGATGTAAAAATATCACGGTGAAACAGACCATGAGGATATTTCCATGGCCCTGAGGCAAAATCAGGTCAGTGTAGCAAAGACAAATAATTTCAGCCCTACAACATATTAAATAGAAATGTAGGGATTAAGCATGAACAAAGTGCAAATGACGATGGTAAGAGGATTTTCCAAAAAGCGGCAGTAGATGTTGCTTGCGATGAAAAACATGCATAGTATTACCCGAGTGAAAATAATAAATTGGGACTAATCAATACATATGTGAAATGTAGCAGATATATACATGCAATGTAAAAAAAAAATGATGGCTGTAGTTAAGCAGAAAGCCGAGGTTAAGGCATGTAATAAAAATACAGTACACATTGTGATAAAAAACTTTTTCAACAACATTTTTTCAGCCTGACCGTGATGCCTTTCGGTTTTGAAACAGGGGTGGTAGAGCATATGCACAGTATGGCAGATATAGTGTTACTATTTTTATTGATATATGCTTTAAACTGTATAGGCTATTTATTTTGAGTTTGTTAGTCAGGAGCAAATTGTAAAATGACACCGAGCATCTCAGGTACCCTGATTCAGTACCCTCTTGAGTGGCTGTGACTGAGATATTCAGACTGAAAGCACTCAGGAATGGCTGGTGGCTGTCAGCACAAATTGCTCCATGGTGGACCCTGGGGGATGAGGTGGATGTGGCTGTATAGTGATGTCAGCTCATTGTAGTGTGGGTTGAAGCTCAGTTTAATCCTCATCCTTCCCCCTGTAGCCTTCTGCCCAAGGTGTGTCCGTGTTCAGAGCTGCAGCAGAGCCAGCATTTTTCACCACTTTGTTAATCCTGCCGTTGTCTTCCTTCTACAGTAGAGGAGGGGGTGTAAGGGACCATTTAACCATCTTTACAAGAGAAACACAACAAAAATTGGCCATATTTTGTCCTTACGTTGTTTATTGAATTCAACCCTTTTTATTAAAACATCTTAAACATGTTGATGACAATATACTTAATGAACAATATTTTTGAAAAAATACGTTTCTATCTTTTAAGTGGCCTTTTGGCCCCAAATAGTTCAGTGTGTTCAGTTTTAGGTCTTTTGGTTTTTGATTAATAACTCTGGATTGTGTTAGAATATAATGAACTTGTTCTTACCCCCTCACTGTATGAACTGAAGGTTACCATGGTGAAATTTATGGGAAGATGAATACGATAAAACTATCAGATGCTTAAGGTTTTAAGTTAAATGTTCATTATCATCGTATATCAGTAACGTAATTGTATGGATGAATATAAATGTGTAGCTCATACATTCCAGTAGATGGCAGTGATGGTAGATGAACAACAACAAACATAAAACCTAAAAGAAGATCGTAAGCCAGTGAAACCGGAAATGTCAAGCGACTGACTGCATTATATCTCCACTTTAAAACATGATGTATTGCTAATGTAAAGGAAGAAACAGTCATATAACATCGTCAAGGAGCAAACTGCGAACATGACAAATGGTAGGTTACTGTATTATGCACCCAGCTGCGAAGTGTCTGTAGCACAACAGGACATGAAAGTTAAAGGAGCTACTTCTTGAACGGGAGGCTAACATTGAAGCTAGGTTAGCCTACGTTAGGTGTAGACGTGGCCCTGGGCAGCACTGCTCGTCTGCTGACACCAAAACTACTACATATTTACTCATTTCAACTGTGGTATCATCGCAGATTCACTGCAGAGTCTGCCGTCCTTAGCGAAAAGCTAGTGTCTTCAAACATTTTATGCTAGTAACATCGTATTTTTTTTGTCAGGCTTCAGGGTTTCTTGCTAACTAGGTATCGGTGGCTAATGCTAAACAAATCAGACAACCAGCTAATCAACAACAACACACACAGAAGAAAATAAAGAAAACCCGCAAGAATGTCACGTTAACTGACGTTAGTCCTGACAGTATCGGCCTCTTTCTGCTGTTGTGCGTTATTGTTAAGCTACTTAACAGAGTCAGAGCTGGTACATGTAGGATAATGGTGGACAGGGGTTTGTGTTATTCTTTTAATTACTCTGTGATGCTAAATTAATGGCGCTAAACTCCCGCGTTTCTTCACATTATATTTCTGTGGTTATTTTTGTCTCATTTAATTCAGTTTACAGATTTAGTCTTGTGCTGTGTGACTAACCTGAGCAGACTGTGTGATATTGTATTACACTTCTTCCGACAGTGTACTCTTTCGACGGCATCTTGGTGTTTGGGCTGCTGTTCATCTGCACCTGTGCATACCTTAAAAAGGTGCCTCGCCTCAACAGCTGGCTGCTGTCAGAGAAGAAAGGAGTGTGGGGCGTCTTCTACAAAGGTAGATATGTTTATAATGAATGATACAATATGCTCTTTCAACACATGCTTTCTACTCAAAACTCCCTATGGCAATACCTAAAACCTGAGAGTTGATTCTTTAACAAGTGGTTCCACCTAAATCATTTATGAAAGGGTGGAAGATGTCAATTGTGTCTTTGGCGTCTACTACATATGTTACTGGGGAGAAAAAGAGATGTATGTTACAGTGGAAAGGTGTTTCAACATCTGTAGATTAAAAAAAAAAACATCTTCCATCCACTCCACCTGCAACATTAGCAGTGTGGAACTTTGCCATATCTTTGTCACTTCGTTGTCTTGTGTTTGCATTCAGCATCATTGTACTGATGCACCTTTTTCACAAATGGCATTTTGACATTTCATAGCAGGGAGAGTGTAATTAATAACATTAATAAATGTTGCAGCCCATATGGTTTTCCCAGCTCAGGTGTGTGTATGCTGGTTCACTGGCTTACTGGGTCCTTAAATGGAACCAAGCCATTGTTAATGTTATTAATCCACCTGTCCTCTTACTGCTGTAACAAGTACAAGCACTGCCCAAATCTGTTTTGTTGATGTCTTGCACAGCAGTACAATGACGAATAAAGTTTTATTTTTTTCTTGAATATTTTCAGACCACACTAATAACACACATGTTTACATGGTTTACTATATTGTCCTTGTTCTGTATGTGTGTGGTTGACCTTTCTACACTCACCCCTCGATCCTCCATCTCTCTTCTCAGCGGCGATAATTGGGACACGGCTTCACATTGCCGTGGCGGCTTCCTGTTTGGCTACGGCTTTCTACATTGTCTTCTTGAAATGAGAAGAAACAGACTGGACTGGAAAAGACTGGACGGGTGCAGACTGGGAATGGACTCATCTCTGTGTTCATGTGCTAATCCTTGTTGTGGGACTCCTCTTGGATTACATGACTGATGAAACCCCTGGCCCTGTGGACCCATGTAAAAGACTAGCCGGTGCTGCCCCCTTCTGGTGACTGGGTACATCATTCCTCCCTTAATAATGTGGGTGCACTACAGACATGAAGGGCATCCTCTATCTACCCCACAGTTATTACAGAGGAGAGAGCCTGTTGGGTCACATGGTATCATTCTGTTGTAGGGTTATAATGTTGGTTGTCTCCATCCACACCCCAGAAATATTTATGCTGAAGGATGCAGGAGATTGAAGGGCAGCGTGTGTGTTATACCTGTATACAACCTAAAATTAGCCTAGCTGTATATATATTTGGGAAAAGATATGACCAATAGAGATTTGTCAGAGGTTATGTTTGATCAAAATGACAATGATCAATTCTGCTTGCTCCCACCAATACTGTTTTTTTTCTCTATCACTTCTTCTGTCAAGGGTGGAGGGGAAGATAAACAAAGCTAATATATTAAGATGTTCTTGTGTACACAATATTTTACTTTTATGCATCTCTTATCTTTTCTTAACAGTGCTGTTTTGTATCTCTTTGTTTTAGATTTGAAATACACATTTTGCACAGGTGTATGTTGTATTTTCTTTGACATCTAATACTAGATAACATGTTTTAGATGTCAGAAATGGTTAAAAATAGAACACGCAGGACGTTCTATCACAATTGTAGAGTGTCTCAGAGTAATAACTCAACTAATTGTGAAAATGAAATCACTATATCAGACATGCCTGAAGATTAAATGCAATGCCAAATAGGGATGGTGCTTCTAATGCCATCTTAATTACATGCTGTTAAGTTTAATTCTGCCACCTTATTTTTTATTTTTTTAAAGAAGAAATTGTTTTGGGAAGGGATGCAATGCAATTTTGAGTAAAACATTAATCAGACAATTCTGTCTTTGTTGTCTTTAAGAAACAAATGTCAGGTCTCAGTGACATTTAGTGCCTCTATACATATATGCTGTTTTTTGGCACTAATCAACACAAATAAAGTACAAACATCTTCTAAATCAAGTAAAAACTGGAATGATTGAATGTATACGTATTCACCTTCTGCAAGTTAATATTTAGTTGAGGTAGTTTTGATAGCAGTTACATCCTTGAGTCTATTGTATGTGTATAGATCTGTGTAAGATTTGCATCTCTGGTCAATGCAGTTTATCCCCCATTCTTTGCAAAACTGCTTAAGCTCTGTCCGGACACATTAGGACTGAGTGACCAGAAGATCTGAACTCCTGCCACAAACTCTGGATTGGACTGAGGCCAGAGGACTAATTTTGGCCCTTCCTGGACAATAACATAATTAATTTTTAAAGCCATCTATGGTATGTGCAGCGTTGACTTCATGTTTGAGGTCTTTCTGTAAAATAAGTCATATCTCATCATCTCATCTTTCCTCCCAATATATCTCTGTATTTATTCATTTCCCCCCTCACAAACCCACCAGGGACTGCTACAGAGAATCCCCAGAGAAATCCCCACAATTTAAGGGCATAGGGCATTGGGATTTTCATTCTCCCATATAATTTTTTTCAAACAGGTCAGATGTTATTTTCCAACAAACTGGGACTGGAGAAGCACCCAGGCAGCACTATTTGTATGTACTATTGTACTGTACTGCTCTGCGCTGGTGATTTAGTGCTCCTGGAAAATGGGAACAAACAGAGATGTCCTGTTACACGCTGAGTCTTTGGGTGTTAATCTCACCCAATGAACCCTATGCATTATTTACACATGCTATAAGCCTCTTGCTGGCTTCTGCCACTAGTGCCCTCTTCACAAACCTGCCATTAGTAGATGTGTAACTGTACCATATTTCCTTTTTATTGAAAACTGAAAGCAGAAGCAGCTAAATTAAATTCAGACAGTATTTTATTATTATTATATATACATACTGACCAATCCACTCACCGTTTCTTGTCTGACCTTGTTTACGCACAGGTGATTTCCTTTTAACTAATTATGCAGCTAATAAAGAAATGATGGCTCTTGCTATATTTAGGCCTGTGCCATAATAAAAGGGTGAATACTGGTACCTGTGCAATCAAGTCATTATGTTTTACATTGATCGACATGTTTTACTTATCTTAAAATCGTAATTACATAATTGTGATTTAGTAGTAAAACAAAGTCCCTGGGTCCAATAATATTACAGCCAATGTGCATTATTTTGTTTACGATAGATAGATAGATAGATA